TCCAGAGCTCCGCCGTCATGGCTCTGCAGGAGGCCAGCGAGGCTTACCTGGTTGGTCTGTTTGAGGACACCAACCTGTGCGCCATCCACGCCAAGAGAGTCACCATCATGCCCAAAGACATCCAGCTGGCCCGCCGCATCCGTGGAGAGAGAGCATAAGTACAGCTGATCCAAGAAAACCCAACGGCTCTTTTAAGAGCCACATAAAGATTTCTTCTGAGTTCCGATTCTACATTTTAAGCTGTGCAGCACACATACATTGAATAAAACGAACATATTCAATTAAATTCTCCACTATAATAATACTTTAACTAATATTTATCATTTCAACCTATCCAGTTCTTAATTATTAATAATTTATAATTGTCAATGATAGGGTTGTCACTTTGTTTGGCAGCAATCAGTTTTCTTTTAGATAAAGATGAGACCAATAGAAAATTGCATAGGGACAGTGGAAATCCTCTATCTGATCCTGGATCCACGTGAGAATGATAAGGAAAGCATTGGTGTTCCTTTTTACTGAGGGATATGAGGGATTTCACCAAGACATGATTACCAGTAAAAATAAAAATGATTGTTCACAAAACATGTGCATAGTTCTGAGATACAGAATTTCTCTGGTACAACCATATGCAAATGTTTTTCTATAAAGAGACATATGCTATTGTGTCTGTTCTGGGGAAAAGCAATAAAAACGTAATTTTAATTACAGTTTTATATATGTGTAGATGTATTGGTAGAATGGATTAAGTACTGACTGGAAGAAAGAAGATGGGTCTAATATAAATAAATTGTTTATCATATTTTCTTATCTATCAATTTCATGAAAATTATTTTATGTAGATCATCTTATGTATACAACTATGGCAGTAGGTTCTGAATAGTTTCCGCCATCAGCTGGCGCCCAAAAAGCGGACTGGAGCCAAGCCCTCAAGCTTAAACCACGCCCCGATCTGCCGCTGCAATCAGGGGTAATAGGCAGAAGCAGACGGTGAAAAAGGTCGACTGCTTTGATTGGACGACTGGATTTGTTGTTAGATGTGACCAATCAGAAAGCACATGATCCACGATAGGCCGTATATATACTCCCAATGCGTGTCTTAACTGTTACTTGTGAAAGTAAACTAAATTAGAATCATGTCTGGACGTGGAAAGACTGGAGGCAAAGCCAGGGCTAAGGCCAAGACCCGCTCATCTCGTGCTGGGCTGCAGTTCCCTGTCGGCCGTGTTCACAGGCTTTTGAGGAAGGGCAACTACGCTGAGCGCGTCGGCGCTGGAGCTCCCGTCTACCTCGCTGCAGTGCTGGAATACCTCACTGCTGAGATCCTGGAGTTGGCCGGAAACGCTGCCCGTGATAACAAGAAGACCAGAATCATCCCCCGCCATCTGCAGCTGGCTGTCCGCAATGACGAGGAGCTGAACAAACTGCTCGGCGGNCCGCCATCAGCTGGCGCCCAAAAAGCGGACTGGAGCCAAGCCCTCAAGCTTAAACCACGCCCCGATCTGCCGCTGCAATCAGGGGTAATAGGCAGAAGCAGACGGTGAAAAAGGTCGACTGCTTTGATTGGACGACTGGATTTGTTGTTAGATGTGACCAATCAGAAAGCACATGATCCACGATAGGCCGTATATATACTCCCAATGCGTGTCTTAACTGTTACTTGTGAAAGTAAACTAAATTAGAATCATGTCTGGACGTGGAAAGACTGGAGGCAAAGCCAGGGCTAAGGCCAAGACCCGCTCATCTCGTGCTGGGCTGCAGTTCCCTGTCGGCCGTGTTCACAGGCTTTTGAGGAAGGGCAACTACGCTGAGCGCGTCGGCGCTGGAGCTCCCGTCTACCTCGCTGCAGTGCTGGAATACCTCACTGCTGAGATCCTGGAGTTGGCCGGAAACGCTGCCCGTGATAACAAGAAGACCAGAATCATCCCCCGCCATCTGCAGCTGGCTGTCCGCAATGACGAGGAGCTGAACAAACTGCTCGGCGGAGTTACCATCGCTCAGGGCGGTGTTCTTCCTAACATCCAGGCTGTGCTGCTGCCCAAGAAAACCGAGAAGCCAGCAAAGAAGTAAAACTGCAGGCTTACTAAACCAACCCAACGGCTCTTTTAAGAGCCACCCAAATCTCCCCAAAGAGCGAGATTTACCATGATCAGATTGGTACTTGAAATGAAAGATTACAGACAATTCAAAGTTGAATGTCATTGTAATGACACTAAAGGAAATGTCAAGCTTACATATTTTATTCATATAATTAAACACGATGTATCAGGTTTTTTTTGTCATTTCAACATGTGGGGGGGGAAAAAAAAATAGACCGTTTGAAAATACTTATTGCGAAATGCATAACTTTAGATACCTGCATTATCCTTTTGCGCTTAAAATTAGTTATTCTTGTCCAAGTGGTGTGAGATGCATAACAATAGCACAAAAAAATGTTTAACGATGTCCTTTTTGTTTTTTCAAAAATATTTTAGTATTTGATATATCTATGGACGTATTTTGCTGTTCTGTCCCTTTTCCTTTTTGTAAAACGAAGTGCATATGAGATGCTGATATTTATTAAATGTTTTTATAGGTTATTTTACAAGAGTTCAAGTCGTTTTACTTGTTTTTGTTCAATTAAAAAGAACCTCGACAGCGTGTGGAAAAATTTATACGCCAATGTAAATCTACACCTAATATTAACTGGAATTGACTTAAACTCCCAACATAAAGCAGAGTGACATTCAAAAGTATACTAAACCTAAAGTGACATCTAATAAGTCATAGGAAACTCCATATGAGCCAAAAACCTTTTGTATGAACTGCAATTGCTTTCTAAAGCACAAGGTTAAATTTAAAGCATCATCTGGGAACAATTTGAAACTAATCCATTAATATTTCGTGTATTTGTACGCACGTACAGTCATCCATTCCAAACCGTT